CGATAGCTGAAAATAAAGTTCAGCGACCGTTTACAATCATCTGTAAAACCACTCTTCAGAGATCACAGCGATGCGATGTATTCAAGAAGATAACACGTCATTGTCCTTACGGGAAATATTCTGTAGCGCGCGATTGTTACAATCGCGTCCATCATATGAAAACCTAGACTTTCTAAAGAAGGGTTAAGCAAAGGTCGACTTGTGGCAAGTCTAATGTAAACTTAAAAGTTCGATTGTGGCGTTGCTGGGTTTTTTCGTCTCACTTGAACAAATTAATAGACGTATCTGTCACGCCTATGTATGTGGTTTGCGACCACTAAGAGATAGAAACCAAAATACTTCACCAAAAAATATGGAACATAGCTTTATATTCTTTATTTCTCCTCAGTTTAAAAGCAATTCATTCCGAACTGAAAATATTTATGAAGACAAACGTAGAACGACTGAACATTCTCTCGTAACACAAAGAGATAATGATGAAATAGTAAACTAGTGATCAATTTTGTGAAAAAATATCATTCAGGTATATCTCCGCCTTATTAAAGATACTGTCTTTGTTCTCTGAAAATTGATGATATTATTGATCTTTCACGGGGAGCTGGAAGATCTAGCGATAGCTGTTCGTAATAAAGGATAATCAATGCTAAGTGTGGGCTTTGTGGTAAAATTTATCTTGGATTTTGCAATTACAGGTTCTGTCCACGTTGTTTTGATCAATTAAAGTAACTTTAAAATCGAGTTACACTTCGAGTTTCATTGATGCCTAAGAACTACCTATGATTCCAGATTATACTGTAAACAACTTATGTAAAACTTTACTATTTAAAGATCTCCAGTGAAGTTTTTACCATAAACTTCACAGGGCGCTGTATGTTGGGTGCTCATCCACACACAGTTGGATAAAATCCTTTCGAAATCAATTAATCTTACACAAGGCATAATTTTAACTTAAAGATGTGCTTGTGAACTGTGTTGCTGAACCTACCTTTTATAATTTTTGCCAAGGGCAGCTCCAACAGGATCCCAACGAAGACGAGCAATGTTAGACACGCGAAGGAAAGAATCAAAAGATTGCAAGGTTTCCACTTCATGATAAGGAGCGATAAGCACTTCTCACCCTGCAAAAGACGTCTAGCTGTTAGGAACTACTGATACCTTCCAATATTAAAGTGTTTTTCATTATTTATTCTCGACAGTACGAATATCAACGCGCAACAAGCATTATTTACATATGCACAGCTGCAAATGTGTTTTTTCATTCCCAAGATTCAGCTTCGAGAGTACAAGTACGGCCCGGTTAATGCGAACAGCAGTGGACAATAAAAGTTTGGTCGCATAAACTTGGTGAGTTTTATGGTATTCAAAGGCTTAGAAAGGGCATCGTTACATTTTAGTTGTCGGTTGCTAAAAATTGAGACCTACACAGTCGTTTTTTTAATCCGTCCTCATTCGAATCCCATTCAGAGATGTCACGCATGCTATTCAAATTTGGACGAACGCAGCCATATAAACTTGGCTTGGATTAGCTCTGAATTCAGAATTTAAGCCATTTTTGTGGCTTATTTGCGTTAGAAAGCATATGAAAGAAGAATTATAAGCTTTCTAAAGGAAAAAGAAGATAAGTCAGCGGCTAAAATTTGTCCTGAATGTGAGCGCAACTAAAGATTTACGCCACAAGTAATATTTGAAAATTCATTCAAAATTGCACGAGCCTTTTTGTGCTTAGAGTAATTTAAATATTTAATTGCACTCGCATTCATACGACTACTCATTAATTACTTAACTGGAAAAAAAACGGACAAGTGCGCCTTAATTTACGCTGAAGTGCAAAATTCAGCGTTGCAGATGCTAATTACAAAACATAAATAAATTTTGTCCATTTCCTGAACTCTCTCTTGAATCCTCGACTAAGAGACGAATAGAGTTGATTGCGTGTTCAGTTGCAGTTTTCTTTTACAAATAAACAGCTTCTCATAGATCAGAAAAAACACTTTTCCTTTGCTTCTGATCGAAAATTTACTGGTAAGGTCAGTGATCTCGAGGTCGGCGTTATGCTTTTCTTGAAAATGCTTCCCAAAAGCAGATGAATTGTGCTGTTCGATGCCAGAGCCTAGCCAGTAAAAGATTATGACCGACGCCGTGCCCATTGAATTCTTTTCCAAGGTATTTAGGGTGTTTTGATGACTATAAACAACAAAAACGAGAAATGACTGAGACAAATGCGCGGCCTCGGTTTGCTTGTTAGCAGCTACGACCCCGGATGCTTTGATGAAAATGGTGGCAGGTGTACTCGATATATTGTGTATCACACAGATAACATTTAATACATTAAGCAACGCGTTATTAGGGACTTTAAGATACCGCACGGCTAGGCTGTAGTACGGCGGCAGATAGTGAAGATCGCTTCCAGTGCCGTCATGACGCGCGTACCAGTACGGCTTTCCCGCCGTGGCCTTGCTTTCTACTACGGGAAAGCGCCTGGTTTCACGTACTCTTCACTACGTGAGTATAAGCCTGCTGTTAACTTCTCATTTTAACGCTTTTTTTACTGTTTGAACAGCCTAGTTTGAAGATAAAGTTCTCAATCATAAAAATCAGTTCTAAGATCATTGTTTCTTTGTCATTTGTACAGAAAATTTAAACGATTTTAACACCTACCGCGAGATGATCAATTCTAATCTGAGCTATAATTGTTTATTACTGTTCAAAATGCATTTTATTATAATCGAAAGTTTTGCATTTTCGGGCTTATCACGTAATCGTTGTACGAACAACCTGTCCGTGTTGAAATCGAGTTTTTCTACATCAGAATTTATATTTTGTTTTGTGGTTGGAATTACAAGCGGTTGTATCAAGTTCTAAAAGGCAAATCTGAGTTCTGGGAGATGTAAGACGGAAACAGGAGAACGAAATCATTGTCATTAATCAAGCCTAATTCGTATGAAAGTAGAATTATCTCTGGTGTCCTTGAAAGAAGTTATTTTTGCAAAGACACGTAGAGACTGCACATACCGTTGCCGTACAGCAAAATCTTAATCGTTTGAGTTTGGCGGGTAAAACACCGTCGTCAGCCTAGTCCCTCACGGCCAAAGTAGCCGTAGTAGCACCTCGCCGTAACGTATCTTAAAGTCCCTATTGGCTCACTAAGAGTGGCTTTTGCACACGAAGATTGAGCATGTCGCCAATTTTTGGGCTGATGTAAACCTGATTTGGTGATCCCGATTGTCCAACTGAAGTCTTCCAGTTGCCTCCAGACAGCATCAGCTGACTGGCGATCTTTTGATTAACAATTAGATTATGAGCTCGAGATTTCTATCACGCATAGAAATAGAGAGCGAATAATCTAATTGTTTTAGTATAAATCTACTAGTCGTTCAAAACTTTATCGAAATCCTCCTCACAGACACTTAACTTCGAAAACGCCAAGAAGCTACCGTCATTTTGTTAACAAGGACACACTGCTACGCTACCCACTATCTACCACAGAATAGATAGTGAGTAGCGCAGCCAATCAGAGAATGACATTCGTGATAGAACGCTAGTAGATTTATACTAAAGGGCAATATTGTTCTGACGGGTTTGTCCGCCTCCGTGACGATAGCGGCGCGCGGGCAGACATCAATGAATCGATAAAGGCAGCTATGGTTGCGTTGATAAGATTCGATGGGTATTTGAGCTAGACGCTGAACATTCGCTTTAGGTTCTCGCATTCATTTATGAACAGTTCCCAAGGTGACTGACGAAAGAAGGTACTTGATTTAACATGATTAAAGGAATGATTCTGTGATCCACAAGAAAATTTATTCCCTTTCGAGTCCACCTTCGAGGCTCGAAAAAATACGAAGTAACTGGCAAAATGGCCGAGCATATTATATGTTAAACCATCGAATAAGATGTTTATGTGATTTACGTGTTTTAAATTAGAGCGAAGCCCTACATCATGCCTTACAAAGAAAACACATTACAATCAGTAGCTTCACAGTAGAATCCCGCCTTACTGAGGGGGGTGAATAGGTTTTCGGATTGACTTAAAAAGTGCACGGATTGTGGATTTTGCGGTAAATCGAGCGGATACGCGGATTTTGAAAACACAGTGGATCGTGGATCACCTGTGAATTTTGGCGCGGATTCCAGATGGTGCCTGTCGTGATGTTCGCATCTTGGTTCTTAAACAAAATTTGGATCATAGATCTTTCTTCAGCCTTGGTCGGTATGTTAATGAGTACATCCAAATTATTTCCTTTTTCGAACGAAGCTAATTTAAACTCAGGTGTGAGACTGTTATTAGAATTGTACTGTGTTATAGTCATCAAGCATGTTGCCTTCTTTACTATTTGTACTCGCAAAACAAACTAAATTACTGTGAAGCTGGACTTTTCCCCCCGTTGGCAAGTAATCACCAGAACGTATTCATCCAAGCAACACGGTGAAAAATTAAACTCTGAGAAACTCACTTGGCAATGAGCAGGTGGACTACACAGAAATCCCAACGGCTGTACTTGTGATGGCCAAGAACTCTTAAACAGCACTACACTTCAATCGTAGTTTGATATTCTTCCCCGATGCAAATTAGCTGTAAATCTGTGTGTGATGTTTAGTTACACAGCTGAACACAAACTGAAAACTTACAAATGAGTTCTTAATCAATTAAGGCGTCTCCCGGCAACTTGTTTTTCCATTAAATTGTAATAAATTTCTTATTTTTTTAAACAGGGTAGCCACGGTCAAGGAAAAGTCAGGGAAAATTAGATTTTATTCAAGGTCAGGGAAAAGTCAAGGAGTTTTGTATCAGGTCAGGGAATTTCTATATCCCTGTTGAAAGTCAGTGAAAAGTCAGGGAATTTTATCTTAAGGTTGCCGCAAATTATCTTTTGAGATGTTTTCGTATAGACAAGGCAATTTTGTTTTTACAATTATCTGAGCCATCCTTATTTTGTTGATTTATGGCCAGAATAATCATCCTGCACTGTCAGTGAAAACTGCTTTACAGTCATGAAAAGTCAGGGAGTTTTTTTGTTCCATTTGGTGGCAACCCTGTTAAAACCTTTTTTGTTTGTGTTACCCTACATGAAACAGGCTACAGCACTGGTCACTCTTTAGATAATCCTTAAGTTCTTGAATGCATCGTAGTGAAATGAAAGTTGAATTATGTTTTTTTTTTACATCTGAATCTTGAAAGGTTGAATTAGCGAACAGGACAATCATACATACATACATACATACATACATACATACATACATACATACATACATACATACATACATACATACATACATACATACATACATACATACATACATACATACATACATAAACTTTATTTAAGCTCGAATTCCAGAGTAGCTTGACCAGCTAATATTTCTTTTGTGAAAAAAGGATAATATAATGTTTGTTCAGGCCACCTTCCAACAGGTAAACAATCATTCTCGAGATTTCGGGATTGAAAACGCTTTGTTATGATTATTATTTTTACCGGCTTAATGCTTTTATATGATAATTTGAATTAAACCCCTAACGGCAACAAATCTAGGCGTGGCTCGAGCTTTATTTGATCCCTAAAGAATACAACAAAACAGACATGACAGCATCTTAAAAGATACCTAAACGGCTGACTGAAAATAATGGCGTGCCGTCCTGAACACGCTAGTGTAGGGAGCTTAAGCAAACCACGACGACGACGGCAACGAGAACGTCACGAAACAAAAGGTTTAATGAGCAAAACAATAGCTGTGCACGTGCGCTATAAATTTTGTACATTTCTTTGCCGTCCTCTGCAAAACAACAACGTGAAATGATCAAGTTCTGCGTCGTCTACGAAACGCGGACGACGACGGCTAATTTTTCGCATTTCCATTTGAAACTATACGCCGTCGTTGCATATTTGACCTAAGCAAGTTTTTAGTGCCATTGGCGTACTGAACAGATCTAGACATTCGCGAATTTCGCTTGTAAAATATGAATTCATTTTTTACTAGGCGTTGTCCTCGGCGTCGTCGACGCCGTTGCTTAAGCTCCCTATTAAACGGAGACCAAAATTCGTGATTTACACCCCTAGGCGATACGACGATCGAGTTCCCCCGACCTTTTTACGGGAGTCCCCCGTGGGAGGTTTCCCCTCGTAGGTCCGCTTTAATGGTTAGGGATTCATGCTTCGGGAATGTTCATTTCTTCATTTATTGATGTTTTTTGGATGAAGTCTTATGTGGATGGCTTATTTAATCCTACTTTTGTGACGGTGAGGGTCATGATCAATAAACTAATGTGTTCCAAAACCGCCTCGACTTTCTTCGCTGTTTTTTTCCCTGCTGTTTCCATTTTCCTTTGCTCTCACTTGTTCCCCCTTTCCACGCCACGTAAGTTATAACACTAGGTAATAAAATGACTGGTTTAGGATAAAAAGGCTGTTGAAAGCGCTGGAGTGAACTATATGTCTTTTGAAGGAGGGAGTGGGTGATTTGGTACAGGCATTATTTTTTTTTAACCTTTTCATGCACTAGGCATTTTATTCAGTTCTCGGGATGCGTGTGTGCATCATACTTTTTTCTCCGTGTATATTTAATTCTTTTTCTCGCTTCACTGAAGGTGTATGAAATATTTTTCGGTAGTGTTCGTGTGTATGAATTTTTTGGTACAAGTATGCTGGCAGGGTATTTAAAAAAAAAAAATCTCCCTCCCCGCTAAAGGTGAAATGGTTCATCCCAAAGTGAAAATTAATTTTGCGACGACGGAGCATCCCTGACCTTTAATTTCCACATGGGAGCTCCTTCCCCCACGGGGGGAAAAACATCTACTAATCAGAATAATATGAGATCGAGCACCAATAGCAGAGCACCAACCGTTCCGGTAACCAACGTGCTACATGCAGCTCTAGTAGTATAGCAGTCTAAATTAGAACCACTATACTCCAGTAAATCTTTACACCTGGGCGCATTTTCCACGCATATGGCGATATTTACAACTGGTCAGATTGAGGACCAGTCACAAGACAGAGTTCTCCATGTACGTAGTCCCCTGAAACAAAAAACAAACAAATGATGGAACTGCTGAAATCCACCTTTTCTTTCTTATAAAACGCGTTAACGTCTAAACCGAGACCGGAACAAACTAAAAGCCGCTTCGATAGTTAACAGGGTAAAGTCTGCATACGAGCCAAGTGGCTCATTAGGCCGGCGCTTATCTCCGCTTTCTGTAGCATGCAGCGACTAGGAGTATTTGGACTCCCCCCGGATGGGATGCAAGTCCATCGCAGGGTTACCCGGCCAGCATTAAATTCGCCGGTACTCATTCATACACCTGGGTGGAGAGAGGCACTGTGAGAGCGCAGGCCCAAGTGTACAACACAATGTCTCCGGCCAGGGCTCGAATCCAGACCGCTCGATCCGGAGACGAGCGCGTTAACCATGAGGCCACCGCGCCTTCCACACTCGCGCTTCGCGCAGGTGGGCCATTTGTTAAGTAAAAGTAGCAGAAAAGTTGTTTATGTACATACATACATACATACATTTTATTTGTTCTCAAATTAAAATTACAATTGTAACATGCCCGCGGATAGCTGAGCTAATCTAGGCGGGTCATGTTAGGACGAGTTATTAATATACAACTAGGTACTACTAAATACAACTGAGGGTAACAAGAGAACTAAAGAGACTAGAATTGACAACGATGACTAAAGACAACTAATAAACTAACGATATTACAAATAATAATTAACAACAGTTACGACGAGAGACTACAGATACACTAAAGCGAAATTATTGAGTATTTATGAATACATACTAGGAGGAAAATAAATTCAGCTTTACTTTTTGAACGATTTCTGTAAGATCAATATAACAGTCTTCTGAAGATAGAATTTCAAAAAGTATTTGTTTTATTTTCCTCTTAAAGACATTTTTTGGAAGCTTTCTTAAATATATAGGCATTTCATGTACGTATGTGCAGTACAGATAATCAGTCACCTAGATAACCAAAGTAATTTCAGATGGTTTCAGTATTTTTCGGCCGCATATGGCGGCTCCATTCTGGGCACATGGCGTTAATTCCAGGAATGGCTCCGGACACTTTTCTCTAAACAAGAAAAAAAGAAAAAGTCAATTTTAAAAGCCAAAATCAAACCCGAGTCATTTGGGTCATAAGCAAGTCTCATGATCAGTACAACACCAGGGAGCTGCCGAGCTGCCGGAAAGTGATTATTTTAGGAATATATCGTGTTACTATTACGAATATTAAGAACTAACCGAGTAGGCTAACCGGAGCGCTCTGTAGGATAACCGGAACGCTAGCGCTAGTTAGGCTGACCAGAGTGGATAGTATGCTAACCTGAGTTTAAAGTCTTTAAAGTAGGCTAACCTGAGTGAAAGGTAGACTAACCGGGATGCTATAGATAGCTAACCATACTCGTTCCCAGTGCATTCGGAGGTCGGAGCCACTCCACTCCACTCTATATTCTGGGCTCTGTAAATTTGTGCGAACATTTCGACAAACATCTGAACCTGGGAAAGAGCACAGGCCTAAAACTTGTAGGAGTGTGTTCTATATTTATCCTCTGTGAGATCGAATTTTCTTGACTTCATCCACAGAATAATTTTTGATTTATTATTTTTTTATTGCGTGACAGTGAAAACTATCTATAAGGTAAAGTCTGCATATGAACCCAGTGGCCCATCAAGCCGGCGCGTACTTCCGGTTTCAGTAGCATGGGTGGGATGCTAGTCCATTACAGGGTTACCCCCAGCATTAAATTCGCCGGTACCCAGTTATACACCTGAGTGATGAGAGACACTGTGAGAGTAAAGTGTCTTGCCTAAGAAGACAACTAACGTAGTAATCTCGACTAACCATGACGCACCTCGTCTCCCATAAAACCTAAAAAATTGTATTCTAAAACCAAGGAAAATATAGACAAAGCGCTGAAAGGCTATTTTTACCACTAGTGACTGAAATTATGAAAAATAAATAAAGAAAGAAAGAAAGAAATAAATAAATAGATAAAAACAAGGCGCCGTCGAATTCAACACAACTGTAACAAAAGATCAGGAACGGTACCATGCCAAGAATCCCTGGACACAGTCCAAGAATCCCTCGAAGAATCAGGGAAACACGCACTTTCGAAAGTGTGCGACTCCGGAGACGGATGGTTGAAATTCATGACATTCACCCTAAAACTAAACATTTCACTGCTTTAATTTAGCGTGCTTTTGATCTTGGCAAGATTAAATTTGGATATTTTAATTTCTTCCGACGGGTACATTATTTTTGCTTGTCACCCATCTTGTCACGTAATTTTAATATTACGTAACGTGAAAACAAGTCACAGCATGCAAATTAATTTCTTTGTTGACAACGCTGATTCAAAACGGTATGCAGCAACCCTCGAGATACTTCAGGTACTTCGGTCGCACCATTGGCTTCAACTGCCTTTTAGTTTTCTCTCTTTTATTCGTTTAATGACTAAAGCCTCCCTATCGTCCGTCACGACAAAATGGTCTAGAATTCGACGTGGATGTATTGCACAGAGGACAAAACAGTCCGAATATTGTAACAACAACAATGGACACCTACAAGAATCCGACGGAGGTCGAAATGAATAAACTCGTTCTTCCAACGCACACAAACGAGCGGCAAGAAAACTGCCTCGGTGGTGGACAGCTGCTGAAATGGATGGACGCCGCCGCGTGTCTGTCGGCCGAGAAACACGCTGGAACCTCGTGTGTGACGGCCTCCATGGACGAACTCTATTTTGAACAACTGATCTATGTCGGCCAAGTTGTTAATCTCACAGCGCGGGTCAATCGCGCGTTCAACACAAGCATGGAAGTTGGAGTGAAGGTACAAGTGGAAGATTTACTCCGTGGCGAGGTTCAAAAAGTTTGCGAAGCTTTCTTCACTTTCGTAGCCTTGGATAAGGACAACCGAAAACAGCAGTTGACCCCTGTTGTCCCTTTTACGGAGGAAGAAAAATCACAATACGCGCTCGCTAACGAGAGAAGAAGAATGCGGATTCAGTATCCAGTGAACCTGAAAGAGCTTGCAAAGAAGCAGGATAACAATGGAGGCAATGAAATGTGCACGGTAACGGAGAATCATCAAACACAGACAGCTGGTGGAGAGATTGCTGCCGTCAAGACTTCCCTGGAAAGCGTTGAGCTGGTCCTACCTCCGCACGCTAACCACCATAAGACAGCATTCGGTGGTCAAGTCATGGCTTGGATGGAGGCTGCCTGCACAATCACGGCTACCCGCCTGTGCCGGTCACACCCACAGCTGCAAGCTGTCGACGAGGTCAAGTTTCGCGGACCCATCAAGGTGGGGGATCGGGTGATCATCAAGACGAGGGTGAACAATACGTATGACGTACACATGGAGGTGGGATGCCGTGTGGAGGCGTATTCCATCGGCGGTGAAGTGCGACACGTCAATAGTGCCTTCTTGATCTTTGTAGCTCCGAGGCGTGATGATGGGAGAGGAGGCCTGAAGATGTTGCCACAGTTGCAGATGGAGACCGCCGAAGAAAAACGACGCGCCGTGGAGGCTATGGCAAGGAAACGCCTGCGTTTTGAGAGGGAGCAGATCCGTAGATCTGTCGGGCCTGTGATCGCCATACCTTGGAGTCCACGCATTAGTCAGTTGCTGAACTACAATAACATAGAAGCGTTGGTGAAGCTATACCAGCTAACGAAATGGGAAGATGTACAATCTTCTTCTGGTGTCACGCTATCCAAGTGTGACATTGACAATTACCTCTGTGTGAAGGTCAATTATTCTATCCAGGTCCGTCCTGAAGTTGTTTTCACGTTGCTTAGCGACGAACTTGCTCGTAAAGAATGGGATCCTCTTCTGATGAAAGTGGAAGTGGTAGAAAAGGTTGATGATGGCGATGTGATTCTCCACATGGTTCTAAAGAGCATGATGCCTAACGCTACGCAACCAGATGACGTGGTGTTGCTGGTGTCACGCAGGGTTCCTTGTGACGGACGAGACCACTACACCATTGCCTACCGATCGGTCAAAGTAACAACCCTACCCCCTTCCCCAGAGTACAATCGTAAAGAACACCTGTGCTCTGGGATGCTCATCAAGGAAACTGATGGGGAGGAGGGTACGTCGACCATCACTTACATCAATCAGACAACACGTGAATTGGAGTCATACGTTATGGGTGATTTGATGGGAGTCACGGACTTTTACGTCAAGCGATTCAAGGAACTTGAGTCATTTCTCTTGCAGAGGTTGTCGAGAGCTTCGGGCACTTGATGCCTCTCTCCGTCTACTGATCCATTCCAGAGGCAAAGCTGAAACTCGGCCAAGCCACTCAGAGCTGAATGATTTTTGCTTAATATTTGCAAACATGAATTGGCTTTTCTCGATTGAATTTGTCGGTTGAACTGTAGTCCGCCTCACCTTTTTTTGAAATCAAATGGGGAAAATACTAGCGGCATCTCATACAATTCACAAGAAAGTTGTTTACAAATCATTTTGACAGCTCCATTTTGATAGCTCCGGAAACGGCGATTTGCCACTAACTGACAGTTTCTCTTGAGACCTTAAAATTGTCAAAAAGCTATTTTTATAGAGCCTCTTTCATTATATTTTGCACATTATTGAGAACTGAATGAAATCCAGGTTTTGGACTGGAAAAAATTTGTTTGAATTCTTTGATGTAAAAGTGTAGGAAATACTGAAAGCAACTATTCTTAATGTTTAAAACCGTAAAAATAAGGAAAATCAACTTAAATAAAGATGTTTAATGAACGAAGTAACCTAGTATCATTGGAGATTCTCTCCTACGCAAAGGCTTCCAAGGGGAGGGGAGAGAGATCAAAAGAGAGAAAAGGGGCCTTCAGGAGTGATGGGGAATATATAAATGAGGCACTATCTAGCTTCTCGTTTCTTCCCTTTGGATTTTTTCTCTCCTAATCTCCTCACGACAACATTTGAGAATCGTCTGTTCATTATTTCATATGAGGTAAACAATAATACTTTTCTTGTCGGCTAAAGAAGTTTGTTGTTTGACTCTTGAGAACAATGTTTTTGGTTGCATGTATTCAATACAATATATATTCGAAAAACGCGTACGAAACTTTCCAGTCCTCTCTACAACGGCCCCGGGATTTTTTTTCCTAAGCGTGCGCTGATCAGTGATTGGTTCTACAGGGGTTCTACATTAACCACGCTACACCGTGATTGGCTTAAACTCGCGCCACTTTTTCATCCAATCAGAAATAAAACCAAAACCCATGGTGGCTCATTCGCACTCGTTTTCCCGCGCTTTGCGTCACCTACATGTGATTACTTCGAGTTTTGATTGGTTCACTGGATTGTCTGTGTCCTTTGTGATTGGCTAGAGTGATTGCATTGGTTTTGGTTTTACGACACTCAATAGAGCGGTTTTCAATTGAGTGTCGCAAAACCAAAACCAAACCAGTTACTTACCAATTAGACTACTCAGCCAATCTAAAACCGTGGTAAAACCAAAACCAAAACCAAAGTAAATGTCTAATTACTTTCGACACTCAAATGAAAACCGCTCTGTTGAAAAATCACTCTAAACAACGGCTACCTCCGTTGGAAACTACACCGAATCGATTCCCCTTCGATGTTTAGTTCTCCTAACATCCCTTAACGGGTAAGGTTGTCAGGACCACATTCGCCAATTTCCAGATGAGTAAGATCCTCGGTTTCATACACCATATTCCGTAGCCAAACTAAATACTAGTCATGCAACCATTCCGAGTGGTATACCATGGAACATCCCACGAGTCACTTGAATCACATTTATCACGCGTGAATCACATTGTTATTACGCCTTAATTAACACCTTCATCACGCCTTTAGATCACACCGCCGTGGCTTTATCACTTCTTGAATCAAACCTTTCTATTAATATCACTTCTTGATTCAAACCTTTCTATTACCTTTCAAGACCTTGACACGAAGCCAAGGGCGCTTCCCATTCGGAACGAGAACAAATGGTTCGGAACTTTCTTGGCGAAGTTTTCCCGAAAACGTTGTTAATTTCCGAAATGGAAACCACCCAATAACCTGCGAGACAGAGGTTGCCTTCTCTTTCTGCTCGGCGAGAGTAAGATAAGGGAATCTCTCTCTTACAGGGTAACCAGCTAACCGAAAAGTCAAGAAATTCCATTTGCAGCATTAAATGGAACCGAAGTTTTCGGGAGAATTTTTCTCGAAAACCCAATGTGGCTATACCTCGCGCGCTAGTCCACTTTTTGGGGAACTTTGGAAGTAATTCCTAGTCTGTTACAGTCAACTAGAAAATGTTTTTCCTTTCGCCACTGAAGTGAAGGATTCCGGAAACTGAAACCGGAAGTTTTGGTCGAGCGGAAAGCATCCAAGTGGATGTTGTATTGAATAGAGCGTGGGAAAGAAACCCTAACAAGTACAGCGATACAGTAAGAATCATAAGTTTGTGATTTGTTCGCGAGCAAATGCATTAATCTTCACGTTGGTTTTGCTGTCTTGTTGTTTTACGACTTCAAGTCCTTTTCATAACAATCAAATAACACAGAAGATCTAATATTATTTAACATCAATATAACTTCAACTGTTGACAATATTTTAAGGTGACCTAAGATGATTTACAACTAAGGATGACCGTACCTACATACTTACAAGACTTATCTAAATCAAAATAAACTGAAAAATAGACTTTTGTACACCCAGTCTTACCAGACATGTAAAGAGTTGGAGGCGCCAACAAAAGCAACTTTTTACAAAACGTTCTTAACGAACACTGTCGTTGAAATGTCATACTTTAAAACAGATTTTTGAACAGTGGAATTTAAGATTCGCTTTTCTATTCTATAGAGCGTAAAACGCATTGTACATGGTGGCTAACCCTCCTGTGTGACCATTCAAAGAAAAGCTATTGACTGTGCAGTGCTTTCATGTTGTCTTGTTGATTTTTCAATGTTTGAACAGTTTATGTAGTTTGTATTTCGGTATTTTGTGAATGTCATAACTTAAAAGTTGTTTTGATAACGTAGAAATTTTCTTGAAATCCAACAAAAAAAAAAAAACAGAAAAAAAGGTGTGACTAAGATCTGTTTCACTGCAAAGATGGTCAGAAGAGATAAAAATAAAAATAATGAGTTTTTCTGATGCTTACAAAATGAAAAACAACCAAGGAAGATCACTAACACACTAAATCTGTGAGACTTCACAAATTTTCCTTATCCCTGCAGTTGTTTCAAACTACTAGTAAAGCTTTACAGTTGAGACTTTGACTAAGCGAAGGAAAAGCACTTGAGAGAAGGGCAATTTAAAACACCTAAATACATGTACACCTCAATAATATTAAGGTAAAGATATAAAAAGCTATACATCTACTTCAGCTAAAAAGTCAAGTCTATTTTAACAAACTATATAGAATAACTGCATTCCCTTCTGGATCTTTCACTTGCCAATGTCCCTCACCAATGTTTCGAACTCCGCCTGGAATTTCCGAACACATTTTGTTCACATCATTCATCATAAAGCAAAGAGCAGCGTTTTTCACTGGCTGAGATTTAAGAGATGGGTATGAAATTAGTTGGAGTTCCAGTTTGTCTGAGAGAGGAAACTTGCGGTAGCTAAGGCCTTCTTCTATCTTGTTATAGGCCAGTGGTGTTTTACCAGTGATCAAGGAGTAAAATCTCTCTACTTCATCCATGTCTTTGTTCACAAAAAGTAGAATGCGAACTCCAGGACAAGGTGATAATTTCTTGACCGCAAACAGAGGACCATCGTTATTTGCAGCTTTGAAATACACCTCGTCCCCATCTGAGATAGCTGGCGGCATGTTGACCTTCTCCCAATCTCTAGAGTTTCCCTTGACTACATTCAAACAGCTTTCAGAATTCTTCTGCGCTCGCTGTGTAAACATCAACATAACACCCAGTGCTGGGGATGTAAGACTTCCGTTATCCATGCGTCTGGTCTTGGAAGCCGGAGAATTTGTTGGGCTTGCTCCATTGGTAAATTTGTGCTCTGGTTCTCNGTATTGATTTCGATGTTTGCCAGTATTGGTGCAAGTTCCATCGAGGAGGTGTTTCAAAAAAAAAAAAAAAAGATCAGTTACCCACTACAATCATCTGAAAATAAAACAATATTGGAAATGACTTACCTTTACTTAAGTGTAAATGTTTAAATGCAAAGGTCAAAAAAAATGTAACTGCAATAGGTTTGGATATCAGATCATAAAAGTCTGTGTTAATTATTAACACAGACTTTTATGATTTATTTCCCCACTTAATTCATAGTTTTAGTTTCAATGGAACAGATGGTGTAAATCAAACACTCAAGAATGTGTTACAATGTATTTCCCAACACTTTAGAATTTCATCAGAAATATGTTCCTGCACATCATATTGTCAACTCTCTTTTGGTTTAGAAGTGTGATGAGGCACAATATCTTGTGTTTGATATATCACACCATGAATGTGTGTCTCTAGTCTCACCCATCTACTCTAAGCCTGCATTTTATGCAGTTATTTTGTGAAAAATACTTGAAAAGCATACCTTGAATCTCAGTGAGCTTAAGATGGGAGATTTCCTCTATTTTGCCCTCCAGAAAGCATTTACCAAGAGCTTCATAACCAGCAGAGCTTGAAAACTTCATTAGAAGCTGAAGGCCACTGAAGCGAAGAGGTTCAAGTTTGGTATCACCACTCTTCTTTGATAGAGCTTCTATTACCCTCCTAATGACTGCTTCATCAAGACTGGAGACACTTGAACTAGAAGTGCTTTCAAAGCTTAATAAAGCTACAAGGTCATCTTGACGAGAGTAACTGTGCCAAGCTTTACCCACTTCAGAACCCCATTTACTGTGGACCTGCCAACAAACCAACACATTACACTAAACCTCTCAAAAGTAACCACCCTCTTACAGTCAGTCAGTGTCCCAAATTCCATGCAATCCCAGGGAGCAATCTTGTACTGCTATATCGTTTTCAATCTCAAATCAACTGCCAGTGAAAATAAAGTTTTCCTAGCTGAAGCCAGCTAAAGGAAAGAAGGTGAAGTGAATGGTAAATGTGAGATTTTGCGAGGCAGCGAGGCTAGCATTTTTCTTTGCAAGACCAAGACTTCAAAGTGTTTTTAATATGACTGCCAGACGTTCAGACAGTGACTGTAAGACCTTTAGACATCATTTATCAAAACAAACAATCAAGTTTGAGACTTTCTTGGCCTTACAAAAAACAGAAACTCTGAGTCAACCTTGAGGAAATATTCATTTGAGACTACTAGATGCACATAACTGCTAAAACAACAAGAATGCCAGACCTGTGAAATTATTTGACGGAAATTTTGCAAGACCCAGACTATTTGAAGGACTATCCACCACCCCTGAAGGAGTGTGTAGCTTAGCTTCAGGGAAGAATCAGTGTCAGACTGTGTGTTTATTGCAATCAGGATAAGGCACTAATGTTTTGCACTGAACATGCAAGCACATACATACACATATCTACTTTATTTATGCTCGAAATTCACAGAGTAGCTGTAGAGCTAGTATCTTCGAGAACATAAGTTACAAAAAAAAAAAAATAATAATAATAAAATAAATAAATAAATAAATACATAAATAAAATAAAATATGCTATATTACAACGCTAGCTCTCTTTGTAGCCATAGATGCGGTTTCTATATTTGCAGCTTCTTTTTAGAGCGTGTATACTGTGAATTACTTTAAACAGTGATCCTAAAATTCATTTTTAAGAAATAGCTTATCTTACGTGGTCATGACCCAAATCACAATACTTACATGCTAACAACAAGTCTGTAAACTGTTAGTAGTAATTGCTATTGGTCCCATAATAATTAATAAAAATGTAAGTACGCCAGAAGGCAACAGTTAAGGATTAAGTTAACAAGACAACATAAATCAGGACCTGGAATTTTAAGGACACTTTAAACTACTGTACAGTTCTAGAACTGTGAATATTTGTACCATAATATAGCATGCAAGTTTCCTTTTTTGACAAAAATTAACTCTGCCACCTAATCAACCTTGTTTTATATATGAAAACCAACCACTTCATTTAACCTGGGCAGTAAACACTTAATATACATGATCAAATTTCACATGTTCTCTTGCATTAACACTGACAACTGTATTTCCTTGTATGTTTATTGCATCTCTTTTATTTTAATTCACCTGTTCCATCACACTCTAGATACAAAAGAACACAAGTCATACGAAACAGCAAAATGGGCTTAAAATACACAAAGGATGAAAATTGCACTTTCTGTCAAATTTATACTAACACTTATCGAGAGAAAGTTTCCCATATCAGCATGACTTGGTTTTGTTTTTGAGTTTTGTGCTAAATACACATTTTAAGTTTTACTCTGTACTTGTTAAAACTTAATGTATGTTCAGCCTGGTCCACACTTTCCTTAAAATCAAAAGTAATTTTCCAAACACCTGCACATAAACTGTAAGTTTAAAATGTTCTGATTATATAAGATGATAAACAATATTTTAAATAACAGAGCAAACTGTCAAACCTTGAAAACAATTACAACTTATACAGTATTGACAGTATTAGTGTATGTATGATCAGGACAATTTCAACCATGAATAAAAAAGTTCCTTTCATAAATTTGAAATAAACTCAAATACAAAAAGAGATGTGTGATATTTTCTTGAAATACTGCATGTCACAAAGGCAGAGCCCTCTACATATTCATTAATCAAAATATCACAAACTGTCAATCACAGATAATGCAATTTCTAACAAATGTCATGTCAATTTTAATGCGATAAAACAATGGCAATAACAAAGCCTACAAATGCGTCCCTTTCAATGTTGGCGTCCGCCAATCGCTGAAGAAACAAGACAAGCAAATTGACAGCAAATGAGATCATTTTAGGGTAAACGGACAAACATGTCAATTTTCTACGACGATAACAGATTCAGAGACGTCCATTTCCTCTGGGAAATGACAGAAACAAACCCCGCGCTGCGACCATACTCGTTTTAACCGAAGACTTTGCTTTTATCCTTACGGAAAAACACCGGAAATATCCCGCTAAAAACACACTGAGGGGTTAATGTTTTCAACAAAAACAAGTTGAAGTACGGTAGTTCACAAAAAAAGAAACTGCAGGTAGATCGAGGTCAATCACTGCGACTGTTTTTCGACAATCTTAAATACAGCCTTTAGACAGCATTTTGGACATGATCGCGCTTGTCAATTTCGGGAGAAGTTTCTTCTCGAGCGCTGCAAAGAAATGTTCAGTCGACAAAGAATTGAACCAATTCACTTTTAACTTCTTTATCTCTTTTGTCCGAAAACTGTTAAACGTAAGCTGTGCTTATCCTTCAGCGCTGACAACTGTGAAATCAAATCTCTCGGGGCATGCTTTAATAATCAACAGACAACCTTTGCACAATGTCTCGCCTCAGCTAATACACTTTATCACAAAAATAAAGACAACACAAAAGAACTTTTACCTTTTTCCGTCTCTGGGACACTTCTGAGGCAGGATGGTAGTGATATGGCGGTTCCAAATGCGGAGAAAATATCTTCCGAACCAAATATCGTGTTGGGATTTCCGAATCTTTTTCAAGTTGGATAAGTCGAGTTGTAGCAGCGTCGGTTTCATCTTGATCGATATTATCTTCATCCAAGAAGGCGAGATCATATTCTTCGTCTTTCACAGCAGCCATTGATTACACGAACGTTATTTTCCGTTACACTCGTTGACAAAGAGACCGTGGAAATAAACGTAAACCAGATAGCGTGCCTTGAAAATCGTAAGCCTCTATCAAAACGCTCCCCCTCGGGCAATGTTTTCTAAACAAATAGCGCGCAAGAGACTGGAGCTCGGAATATATTATTTGTTGGCGAGAGATTGAGGAGAGTAGAATCCAGTTCTATTAAAGGGGGCTCGGTAAAGATGGCGGCGAATGAGGAAGCTGAGGGACCAGGGCTTGAATGTTAGCGATTGTGGACAGAAAAACTCGCTATTAAAGGACGAAATATGGAAGAGAAAGGTGACAGTTGTTGAGATTTTATTTTTGCCAAGTTTCTTAATTGTTATGTTCCATTATTCTTACAAAAGCATCAAAATTTGTCAAGCCTTAATTTGTGTACATCACTACATGGTCATGATCTTGTGAAGAAAAAAAGTTTTGAACATTACCGGTATTCGTCCGTTATGCATGGTTTTCTGTGTTTGTCGCAAAACTGAATTTTCTGAAATTATTCCGTTTTATAAGCTGTTCAGAGCAACTCTAAAAAATCTGTTTTGTATGCTACAAAACGGATAATCTAGATCTGTTCAAGACTTTTCACTTGGATGCCAGGTTTATTTATTATTCGCCCATATATAATGAAGGTCATATAAAACTTCTCTTGATAATGACTAAATTTGATCTCTTCCTTCATGATTAGCATGGAACTAATGCAAATATAATCAGCTGTTACCCTTAGCTCTTCGCTTCCATTTGCAATGAGTTCAGCGATGTATTTTTACTGATATCATGAAATTTTGGACCAGATAATGCTGGTTTAAAAGTCTGAAAATAATAATGTTTTTATCTTGAAAGTCTCACATGATAAAGACCCATCAATGCTAAATAAATGGAAGACCTTGGCGACACCCACTGTAGGTCTCCTGCATATAGTTTGTATTCATTGACTTTTTATGCATCTTTTTTTGCTGGTTTAAAAGTTCTGAAAATAATGATGTTTTTATCTTGAAAATCTCACATGATAAAGACCCATCAATACTAAACAAACGGAAGACCTTGGTGGTACCCCCTGTAGGTCTCCTCCATATAGTTTGCATTCATTGACTTTTTTTGCATCACAAGGTACAAAACAGGAGTCTGATGCCTTGGAGTATGCTTTTGATCTTCTGGAAGTTGGATGTACAGGGACAATTGAAGTTATTTCAGAATCAATCAATAAATCCTCTAAGGAAGAACTAAAACCACTGACTACTGTAAGTTTATATTGAATGCAGTAATAGCTCTTGAAATTTTTTTTTTCTTTGTCGTTGACAGGCTGGTAACTTAAAACTTGCCGTGATTTCCTATGACATGTTTTTACTGCCTTTGTAATTTTATTTACAAAGTTTATAACCTAAATTAATACAATATCAAAAATAGTAAATGTATAAATTAGGCTTAGAACTGAAAACCTCCAAGGAAGCCACCAGTCATGTTGTCTTGACATGAAAGTTCACAAACCAGTTTGAATTTTATTCCTTGTATCTTTGTTTCTGATTACTTACTGGTACTTACATTTATATATCTTTTTTGTGCCTCAGAGAATGCTTGAGGTTATTCAGAAAAGCCCTCCATCCATCTCATGTCTTTCACAGATGTTTTTGCGGCCCTCTATGACTTCCATCCCAACTCTTCCCACCCTCTATCCACACTCGTTCCTCTTCATGATTATCATCATTATCATCATCATTGTCATTCCTATTGTCATCATTGCTGTCATGGTCATTGTCATTGTCATCGGATGGTAAGGGTCAGGATGACTGCCAGTGTCATTTGACCCCTTCTATTGCGAACAAGTTTTGATAACAAATCTGTCTGGGTGATAGAAGTCCAAACTTGTCCTCTGGTAATGAGCAATAGTTGAAAATGTTGTAGATACAATTTTTGATGACATCAAGGTCAACTAACATTAAATGCAATGAGAAAAGGTCATGGGGAAGAAACTGAGATAAAAAGCAAAGTGGATTGAATATCTTCAAACCAAAAACAATATTTATCACATCAAGGACAATTATTATACAAAATGTAACTGAAGTGTAACCTCAAGGGAACAGATTATTAATAGTCTTCTGTTGATAACTTTTACACAATCTACTGTTAGTAATTTTCTGTATAACCTGTTGTTTGCAGCTTCCTTGTGGTTTACCTCCTCTGTTTGCTCCAGATTTGAAGTCTGATTTAGAGAAATATCTTTTGGATCCCACCACCCTGCCCATCCATGACTTTCACAAAACACAAAGGTAATGTAAATAAATAACTGCATCTCAGTGTATCACAAGACTACAGACTCCTGTGTTCCATTTCCATTTCCATTATCAGTTTAATTATAGCACTAATGGCTTATTTTTTAGGGCACAGCTCGCATTTGAGTAGACTACAAAATATAGGTGGTGATGTTAATAATGGTAATGATGATCATTCATATGTCTCTAGGACAAAGGTAACTTACCAAATCAGTAGGTTTGAGTGAGGGGGTACACTCAGATTACAATATCTTAATTAAATGAAAACTGTGTTTTGATAATTAAAATTTTCATTTGATCTAAAATTAAAGGTTTTGGCCCCGTGAAAGAGACCCAGAGAGCCTGTTGTTTTCAGATGTCTGTCCTGTTCCATCAACATTGAAAGTAGAGAGAAATCCAACAACTGGAGAGCTTCTGGGCTATAATGAGGTATGTCTATCCATTTGCCCCTCTTGTCACCTCTCCCAGTGCCAGTACTCATTTCATCATCATGCTATCATTTCTTGGCTTTGAATACTGCCTGTAGCTCTGACATTTTCTAAAATTCTCATACAGAATTGCCAAACAATGAGAAATGCAGTAAGATTTTAAAGATTTGAAATGTTGAAGGCTGTGTGCAATTTTTGCAGGACTGTCAAGCTTTAGGACTGTCAAACTTACTCGTACTGGACCCTAAACATCCCCTAAACATCAGCTAAATGTAACCTCTTGAAATACAATGACAATCACTTTTAAATTAAGTATGGTACTCATATCACTCAGACAAGATTTCAACTTAAACTTACATGTGAACTCATTAATAATTAAGTATCGTAAGGAGAGTTTTTAAAATTTTAGAACAAAATTTATCTCAGGGGAAATTTCTGTCCCTTTTTCCCAATACAGTGGAATCCCTGGCTTAAGGCCACCCTGGCATTAAAACAGCCCCCTCATTATTACGGCCAGTTTATTCTGGCCCGAAGAAAAGCTCGGTCAGTCGTTTTCTTATTTAAAGGGCCCCTTTAATACCGCCGCCCCGTTAATACGGCTAGAGTTTTGTCGCCTGTTGGTGACCGGATTAATGGGGTTCCACTGTGTAAAATTAATCAGTTCCAGTATTCTTTAAAATGTCTTGATCATTTTGATACTTCAGTATCCCTCTTTGGCTCACATGACTAACTGGACTTGCCTAGTATACATGTATCAAAAGGCTGGTCTATGAATTTCTTGATAAGCCCAGATTTGAATTAAGGTCTCTACAGGTATACTGCTGATACTTAAGTGAACTTATACCAATATTTAAATGCATGTAGCTCATCAGCAATCTTGTGATCATCAGTAATCTAAGATAACTTTCATGTAACCTGTGATGTTTTTATTTGTATGGCTTGCTGAAAGGTGATGTTGACAGATACCGGATCCACTGCTAAAAATTCCATGTCCCTGTTACGACAACCTGGACCACTGTCTGCCTCTGTGAGAGGAGAGTCAACAAATTATCCTTTTTTACCAGGTAAAAGTGATGTTGTGGAGTCTA